TAAACTGTATACTTTGAGATCTATGTTGGATGAAAGATCTGAACTTCTTTCCTTCAGATCTGAACTTTTTCTTTAGATCTAGACCGTATATATATTTTATGCTTTGAAAGTTATGCTGGATGAAAAATGTAAACATTAATTGTCAGATCTAGACTGTACAAATATTTTATGCTTTGAAAGTTATGTTGGATGAAGGATGTAAACATTGTTTTTCAGATCTGGACTATATATGTATTTTATGCTTTAAAAGTTATGATGGATAAAAGATGTAAGCTTTATTTTACAGATCTGGACCATGTATGTATTTTATATCTACAAATATGTTGGGTAGAACATGGGTAGATAAAATAGTTGGTGTGTGGTGAAATAAAATGATGAGAGGCCTCAATTTTGACGTTGATCCAGTCATCTAGCGGAGTATGGATGACGACCACAGACTTTTCTAGGAAGTCCAGTGGAACGCTAGCAGGCTCGCAACCTGTAGGTGTTTGTGAACGAAGTGTTCACCGGTGTACTCCATCCCCCCATGGTTGCCTTACGGGCACTCATGGCTAAGGAATCCCCTTAGCAGTAGTGACCATCCCGATGAAATTCCTTAGGATAGGTCCCTTATGATAGATGCTTTAGGGACGTAAGGTGAGGATAACGGGAACGGGTAATCGAGTTTAATGATTGTTGAAAATAATAAACTTATTTATTGTGGGTTGAAAACCCTATATGCTCACCAGGCTCCCCAGCCTGGCCCACTCAGTTTCTTGTATTACAGGTAGTGGCAAAAGCATAGTTGGATGATTTGACGAGAGATTACGGATTTGAGGCCAGATAGTGTTTTGTGGCCTAAGATGTTTATTTCTTTTTAGTTTATGCTTATGGTCTGTATCGATGATGACATCCCGAGTTTTTGTAATGTAATGGAAATGCATTTCTTTAAGAAATGCTTTGATAAAATTTATATCATATTTTGTTTTGGGAACAAATTCCGCAATACTTTTCTTAAGAAGTTACTCTGATTTTTATTAAAAAGCATAAACGAAATCGGTCTTTTCTGGCCGTAAAAATGGGGATGTTACATTATTGCAGGTTGTATTTTAGACACATTTTAGACAATTTACAGTTTTGAACCAAACATTGTATATTTTGCACTCGTTTATAGTTGAAACAAGATAGAAAAAACACCAACAACAATCAATCCGAAAATTAGCCCTAATCAGAATATGCATATATTAAACCAAAATAGAGGATCGATGACCCAAGTAATCTAAATGGATTCCAAAACTTTGATGGGTTTCGAGCAATACATCATTCCTATGGTGTACATGCAAACCCTAATAGCTTTTGGATCTAGTTTGTCTAATGAACATGCAATTGAATATCCAAAGCTATAAACCCTAGATCTAATAAACTATAACTGAAATTAGGGTTTAGATCTTACCTTTGATTGTTATATAGCAATAACAATCAATCCTTGGCTTCAGAAAGCTTAGTGCCTCAAGTGTTGCACCTCTAATGGAGTCACAAACACCACTAAGCAACTTGGATGAAGAGGGAGGAGAGAGGAGCCACCAAAAATGGCTGGAAACCCTAAAGGAAGACTTAGCCACGTTTTTGGGTCTCAAGGGCTCTTTAAATAGGTAGGCAATTAGGGTTATCTAACAAGGAAACCCTAATTTGACTGCTTAAGCCCTAAGCAGCCCATGAACCATTTTTGGAACATGCCTTGGACGATTTCTAATGGGCTTCCCCATAGAATTCGTCCAACCTATTATCCCAAGGTGATCCATAGCCCAATTGCAATTATCTTATAATTACAATTCCAGTCCCCCTAAGTTTAATTAATCTCTTTTAGCCACAAAATTAACTCTTTATTAATTCTTGACTAATATTAATTAAACAATATGATTTCTCCTTTAATATATTATTCTCATAATATATTAATAAATTATAATTAAACCTTTCTCTCCTTAATTCATCCTACATATTGCTATGGTGAAAGCAACCCAAAAGGACCATGCTCATAATCAGGTCAAGTACATACCAAAATAGTTATGGACTTAGAAACTAATCCAACAAACTTGATATACATAAAGTTAAAAATGAAAAGTTAAAAATAAAAATAACTTAACTTTAAAACTAGAGACATAAAGGCTAAAACCATGAATCTATTTTTCTTCAAACGTTTTTACCATTTAGTTCCCCGCTCAATTTTTTTTTGCATATTCATTTCTCCTCAAATCTCCCTCCAATTTCATTACATATTCGTTTCCCCCTCGATTCTCCCTCCAATTTTTTTGGCTTATTCATTCCCCGTCAACATTAAAAGAATACAACTTTTATTTGTTGTTGTCCCTGCCTCAACATAATACCCGACTACATGTTGATATTGCCATCGTTACCTTAACTGACTTCACTCCCCCACCAATATCAGAACATGACCTTTGGGCGAGCTTTCACACTGCAAGACACATCTGCTCTTCAAATATTCCCCTCTCTCAATCCCGTCGTTTTTATAGTGTTCGTCATTATATTCCAACACCATTGCTATTTCTCTACTCCATTATCGTCGATTACCGATACTCAAATTCCCCTGCGGTCTCTCTGTTTTTCTGTGTGCAGTTAATGGAAGAATAAATAGCAATTAAGTATATAATCACAGGGCGAGTTCTAATTATCTTTCAATTTGTTTTATCAATATCTGTTAAACTTTAAAATTTAAAGTTTTATTCATGATCGGTGAAGTTTTTTAGTGTATCTTATATGTGTTTTGCAGAGTGCATGGATATCAAAAGTGATATGGATAGGATTAAATAGTGACCAAAACATAGGCCATCTATCCAAACACAATTTTTTCCTTAGTAACCCGGCAAGAGAAGCTCATAAGGATGCTGATGAAAATGCTTGATTTTGACAAATTTATGGTAATCATCCCACGTTGTCAATTTGTTATACCCAAATTGGGTCAGATGTGATTTATGGTTGGTTTTAATGGGTGGATGCACAAATAGTTATATAATTTGAGTCCTGCATCAATTCTCTCTCCTAAAAGTTGGTTTCTGGTCGAATGTTGATGTTGCAAGCAAGTCAACTGTATGAGTATCAGTTTTGTCTTTGATTTCAAAATTCAGTTGCACATGCCTAAGACGCTTAAGTGTAGCATCTTTAAAATGAAGTGGTATCATTGGTTGTTTCAAACAACTCATCTTTTATGGAAATGGAGCTGCTTTCATTTATTAAGGGTGTGAGTTATTAGTTCACATGCTGCTGTTGCTGCTTAATGTTTTTCAAGGCTGCTTTTCAGGTTAAACTGATGAATGTTTTTTTTTAATAATATGTAAAATCTGTTTTTCTTGTTGTTCTATGTATCTTGATGTGTCTCATGTTTTGTATTTGTTAGCTATCTGCTACTTTTTTTTCCTGTAATCAAATGCTAGGCCTTTAAAAAAGAAAAACTTATAAGTTAATGGTTAATTTCAAAGTGTGATGTCATAATTTGAATATTAGATGTATGTTTGATGTTACATGTGTCAAATTACAATACTACAGAGTGATGAATCTTCAATTACTTTAGTGTGGATTTAAGAATTCAGTTGGTTGTTTGGCAACCTTGTAGTTTGTACAGGTATGGAGTGTTATCTGTATTTTCAAACTCGGTCATTAAAACCACATTTATATTTTGCTAAAAAAAATGAAAAAACCCGGTTGTTAAGAAATGGGTCATATAACTTCCGGATAGAAGTTATTCAAACGATTGAGATTATAATGATAGAAATTAAAATATTAAGCAAATAAAATTTAAAAGATTAATTAACAATAACAACAACTATAAATAACATTATACCATACATTATATTTAATTTTATTCATGTGTAACTAGCGGATAGAAGTTATTCAAATGATTGAGATTATGCAGTTATAATAGATGTATATATTATCATATAATTCAAAATAATTAATATATTATATCAATTTAATTTATGAATTATTATATCAAATTTAACAACAACGTTATTGCTATATTTTAAAAAAACATATATTTGTAAAGACTTCAACTATATAGGTGTTTATGCGCAACGTGCGTGCATTCGTCTAGTATACTTATAAAAGAGACATTTTTTACTTACACCACATGCATTTGAAACCTCCATGAATTTTCAATTTCTTTCTAATAATTATTATAAATTGGTTAATAATGTTAAATTAATGTAAAAACTAAATTCTAATCATAAATTAACCAAACTAGAATATTAAAAAAAATCATATTTTACTTCTATTTATAAAATTATGACTTTAACTTTTTAACATATTATAGTTACTTATTCGTTTAAATATGTTGTCGTGTCTGAGCAATTGTGATTTTAAAGTCACAACTTTTGTATAATTTATGATTTATGCAAAATAGTTAAATTATTAATTTTAATATAATGTTAAACGGTTAACTTAAATCAAAATTTTAGTTAAACTTGAAAAAAAACGAGAGACTATTTTATAAATAGTTACAAGTTATAAAGTATAGTGTTAAACCTAAATTGTAATCCTAAATTAACAAAAAAAAAACCATGAAACTATTTTTTTATAATCATTAAGTATTTTCAAATAAGTAGCTTTAAAATAAATTACAATAAGAATAGTTAAAAGTAATATTATATAAAAACTATAATATTATCTTTAAAAACAAAGTTTGTTGTTTTAAATAATTACAATCAAAGAAACTCATAATATTCATCAAATAAAATTTAAAAAAGTTAAATTTCTGAAACCAAATTAAAATAGTTAAGAGTTTTCAAATACGTTAGTTTTAATAACTTACAACAACATTAGTTAAAAGTAATATTATATACATAAATTATATTATTACATTTCAAAATAAAAACAATGTTTGATGTTTTAAATAATTACAATGATAGAAATTAAAAATCTTAAACAAATAAACTTTTTAAAATTAATTAATCATAACAACAACTAAAAATATCATTAAATCATATATTATATTTAATTTTATTAATGTGTAACCTGCAGGTAGGGATGAGCATAACCGGGTACCCGCCTATTTTAGCCGCAAGCAAAACAACACCTACAGCTAGCAAAAAACAACAAACAGCCTAACAGCAACAGCAAAACAGCACCAGCAGCAAGCAAAAAACAACAAACAACAAGCAAAACAACAAACAACAACAGCAAACAACAAACAGCAAAAACAGCAACATCCCAACATCAAAAACAGCAACTACTAATTCCGTCCACGTGTATCTTCCATATTGCGACTGATTTCTGCAATGAAATTAAACATAAAAATTCAAATTAGAAGATTAAATATTATACAAGAAACATAAAATAAAAGAATAAATAAAAATGTATCTTCCATATTACCTTCCTCATATTTTTCCACATCTTCCAATAACTGTTCAAGTTCAATACAAACATGTGATGTCCTCAACCAATCTTGAGTACAAATCAAAGCTTCCACTGTCTTTGGAAGCAAATTACTACGAAAGTCATCCATCACACGACCGGATGTACTAAAAGTGGACTCACTAGCAACCGTAGAAACCGGAATGGCTAGAATGTCCTTTGCCATTGATGCCAACACCTTGTATGTTGTGCATTTGAACTTCTAATTATTGTATCTTCAATTCAGTAACAAATTACATAATATAGATATAACAGATTACATAATATAGATTACAACAAATGCAATTTCGAAATTTATAGTTACAATCAACATGAAAATCGATAGAACTTATATTACAAAACAGATGGTACCAGTCATGGAGGTACCAGTAAAAAAATGGACATTTTACCATATGGAAATAATGGAAATCGCAGGTAATAATCGAGAGATTAATAGATGGAGGTAACAGTTTGAGACTTCGAGAATCTAACCTTGAAGATGAAGACTCGTAGTTGCAGGCTTGCAGCGATGGTCGGCGATTGGGTCGGCAATTGGGTTTCTTTGTTCGTCGATTAAACAGAAGGAACAACGTGAGCTACTGAGCGGAAGATAGTAGATACGAATGGGGTCTAAGAATCAAACCAGTCCACCTTCGTCTTCTACTCCAGCGAATCAAACGACTCGAGAAATCGTGAGAGTGAGTGTCGGCGTCTTACGATTGCGAGAGGGGAGTGTGAGTGTTTGCGTTTTTTTTTGGTAAGAATGAAACTCACATTCACAAACCCTAAAACGATAAGGCATTAACGCCTCCTTCTTTTTCCAGTTTTTTTATAAACAAAATCACCAAAATATAAATATTATATATATATATATATATATATATATATATATATATATATATATATATATATATATATATATATATATTAAAGAGGCGGGTACCCGTCGGTACCGGTTCCGGTTAACCGCCGGTTCCGGGTACCCGGTATTGGAACCGGAACCGGCGGGTATCCAGCGGGTATCGGTTTTGTAAAAATAAAAATTAGAACCGGAACCGCTTTCCGAAACTTTAGGAACCGAAACTGGAACCGCATATGGCAGTTCCAGTTCCAGAACCGGCAGTTCCGAGGCGGTTCCGGTTCCGAAAGCAGGTACCCGCTTCCGCTGCTCATCCATACCTGCAGGTAGAGGCCATTGAGACAATTGAGATTATAAAATTTTAAAAGATGTCTACATCATAATATAATTCAAAGCAAACAATGTTTATACCAGCTTATTATAAGATTTATTATATAAGAGCTAACAACAACGTCATTAATATATTTAAAAAACATATATTTCTAAAGATTTTAAATATATTGTTGTATTCTACACAACACACAAGTATTCGCCTGATTTATAATATTGTAAGTATTAATGAGTCAATATAAAAAGTTATTTAGGTTTCAAATCACTATGGTTTAAGAAAACAAACTAGGTGTGAGACCCATGTATTACATGGGTTAAATAAAAAATTAAATATCAAAATATAAACATTAAGTATTTTTTAAAATTAAATTTTAAAATAAGGAATGAAAAAAACATATTTATTGCAATTTATGATCATATTTATTATATTTAATACTTTACTTAGACCGGAGGGTATGGGAGGGGTGTTTCCCTCACTTTTTGTGGGCCACACCACCATTTCCCTCACTTTCCTTTCCCTCACCTAAAACCCAACGAATGGGTGGGAAGCTCTCATCACTATTTTTTTATTATTTTTTTAAAAATATATTTCATACATATATTATACTCATTTTGTACGGAATTAAAAACCATGAATTTTGATATATTTTTTATATTTTTTTAATAGGTATATAATTTTATAAATATTAAAAAAGATAAAAAAAAAAACTAATTGCCCAATAGAATGAGGAGAGAGAGTGTGGCACCCCCTCCCCCCACCTCTTTCCAGCGCCTCCCTTCCCGCACCGCCAGTGCGGTGTTCCTTCGCGCGGGACACTTCCCGCGGCCCTCCCCGCTCCTCATACCGTCCGACTTTATATAACTATACATATTATGTGGCTTTTTAATTTTAAAAATTAAAAAAACCTAGAAATTGACATGTGGATACTATTAATTTCAAAAATACTACAAAATGACAAGTATCAAAACTTATAAGAGATTGACATGTGGCAAAATTGATCTTTATTTATTAGAGTAGAAATTATTTAATCACATGAGTTTAGGGGGTGTTTGACAAAAAACCTATTGCTTATTAGCTTATAAGTTAATAAGTAAGTGTAAGGTAACTTATGAAAAAATAACTTATTAGAGGTTCCCCATCGGAATAAATTATTTTTCATAACACTTTTTTAACTTATAGTGGGGTGGAATCTAATAAGTTGTTTTAAAAAGTTAGCCAAACAAACACCCCTTAAATGACATTTATTATTTATTAAAAATAAAATAAAACTACAAATCATGTTAATAACATGTCCTTTGTTTTTGTCAAAATAGTTCTCGAGTTTTAATAACATGTGTTTTGTTTTTGTCAAAATTGTTCTCCAAGTTTAATTGGACCGTCATCCAATCAAACCGGGAAGAAGACGCGGGTGTTCTGAAATCTGACCCTGACCCACCGCCCACGCACCATTTCTGGATAATCGGAGTCAAAAGTTAAAACCACACAACGGAGTTAGTGGAGTTATGCGTGTATTTCTTGTAACCTAAAACTAAAGAAAAGGTCAACTCCCTCTCTCTCATTTTCAAAATATCCAATCACTTCAACTGTAATTTTATATTTTCATTCCATTTCGCTTACAAAATCCACAAGGATCTACCTAATCGACGATCTAACACAAATCAAGTTTTAATAAAGCCAGATCCGTAGTCTAGCACAGTACAAGCGAAGTGGCAAAAGATCTTCAGTTGTGTTTTGCTTTTCTGAATCTGATGCCATTTTGAAAAACCAAGCAGCGGTTTCGTTGAAGCAGTAGCGATGGAGAGCTATTTGAATGATAATTTCGAGGTCAAGCCGAAGAACTCATCGGAGGAAGCGTTACAGAGATGGAGGAAGTTGTGTTGGGTGGTGAAGAATCGGAAACGACGTTTTCGTTTCACTGCTAATCTGTCCAAGCGTTTCGAAGCTCGTGCTATTCAACGATCCAATCTGGTTCATACTCTTTCTCTTTCGCATCTCTTTTATTTTCGTTACCTATGTTCTGCGTTTGCTATTTAGCTTCTTGTGTTGAGCTTAAAGTGAATCTAGCGAACTGTTGATTTGTGGTTGGCTAATCTAGCTAACTGGAAGGTTTTTACCATTAGGAGACGCATCAGGATTTTTCGGTTTCTATACAAACCAAGGCTTTTTCTACTACGGCAATGAAATAAATTCATGACTTATGTTAACTACACTGTGAAGGTTGGATATAGCTCTCTGATATGACAATCAAACGGGAAAATACACTGCTGTTTACAGCCACGATGTTGAAAGAACAAACCTTCTTTTGAGCCATTTCATACTAGTAATTACTACATAGAAGCAGCATTTTCATAAATAAATTTCCTGTTTGAGGCTTATGTTGATTTGAGTGTAATTAGAGCAAGATCGAACTTATAGAATTACCTTAAAAACATGGTACCTTTAGGTTGTTTGGCTATATCCTATATGATCACCAGACCTATTTGTTTCCGAAAATATTGATAACATATGCATCTATCTTATTAAGCTTGAGATCTGAGGAGGTCAATCATCTTGTGGCTTCCATGTTATATAGCTCTGTTTGATGTAATTCATGACTTTTTGCTGTGGAGATGTGTTTAAAAAGTTTCCTACTTAACCACATAACTGGTTAAATCTGATAATATGAGATTATTTATGATGGGAAATACATCAAAGTGTGTTTAGTTAATAGTTACTACTAAGAAAAGTAAAACTTTAGGTTCCATTATATATCAAAATTGCACATAGGTAGCTTTCCTTTAGACTTTTTCATTTAGTTTCTTTTTTAATGTGCAATTCAAGCTGTAACCCTGACATAAGGCTCTATCTGTAGGAGAGTCTACGAACCTTGATGCTGGTTTCACATGCAGCAATTCAATTTCTCAATGGTATGCATCTCCACATTCAAACTCCCACCTTCCATATTCCATTATCATAGATTTTCACATGTTGACAATAAATGCTTGCAGGTATAACTTACAGTGTACCCGAGGAAGTGAAAGCTGCTGGCTTCCAAATTGGTCCAGACGAATTAGGATCAATAGTTGAAGGCCGCAGCTTAGAGAAGTTAAAAGCTCATGATGGAGTTGAAGGAATTGTGAAAAAGATTTCCACATCAACCACCAATGGAATATCTACTTCTGAGGAAGTACTTAACAAAAGAAAAGACATTTATGGAATTAATCAATTCACAGAAAGCCCATCTAAGGGCTTCTTGGTTTACATATGGGAAGCTCTACAAGATACAACCCTCATGATACTTGGTTTATGTGCCTTTGTTTCCTTAATTGTAGGCATTACAATGGAAGGGTGGCCAAAGGGTGCACATGATGGTCTTGGGATTGTAGCAAGTATACTATTGGTAGTATTTGTCACTGCTACAAGTGACTATAGACAATCTTTACAGTTCAAAGATTTAGATAAAGAGAAAAAGAAGATTACAATTCAAGTTACAAGAAACGAATGCAGACAAAAGATCTCAATATACGAGCTTCTTGTTGGTGATATTGTGCACCTTGCTGTAGGTGATCAAGTCCCAGCTGATGGACTTTTTGTTTCTGGATTTTCACTACTGATAGATGAATCAAGTTTAACAGGTGAAAGTGATCCAAGAACTGTAACAGTTGAAAACCCGTTTCTTTTATCTGGAACTAAAGTTCAAAACGGATCATGTAAAATGGTTGTTACCACTGTTGGAATGAGAACCCAATGGGGAAAATTAATGGCAACTTTAAGTGAAGGTGGAGATGATGAGACTCCATTACAGGTTAAACTTAATGGAGTAGCCACAATTATAGGGAAGATTGGACTCTTTTTTGCTGTTATTACTTTTGCTGTTTTGGTTCAAGGATTGTTTGTAAGAAAGATGGAGGAAGGATCCCATTGGACTTGGAATGGCGAAAATGCCCTTGAGATGTTGGAGTATTTTGCTATAGCAGTCACCATTGTGGTTGTTGCAGTTCCCGAAGGACTACCCTTAGCTGTGACATTAAGTCTTGCATTTGCCATGAAAAAGATGATGAATGATCGCGCCCTTGTTCGTCATTTGGCAGCTTGTGAAACCATGGGATCTGCTACTAATATCTGCAGTGATAAAACTGGAACCCTAACTACAAACCACATGACACTTGTAAAAGCTTGGATTTGTGGAGAAACAAGAGAAGTGAACCATGGGGTGTCGACTTTTTGTTCCACAATTTCCGATAATGCCCTTGGGTTACTAGTCGAGTCGATTTTCAACAATACGGGAGGGGAAGTGGTGAAGACTGAAAACAACAAGACTGAAATTCTTGGAACACCAACCGAAACTGCCCTTTTGGAATTCGGCCTCATGCTTAAAGAAAAACAAGTGGAGCTTGAAAAGTCAAAGCTGGTCAAAGTAGAACCGTTTAATTCTGAAAAAAAGCGTATGGCTGTGGTTTTGGAACTCCCTGGAGGGTATTTTCGGGCACATTGTAAAGGTGCTTCTGAAATAATCTTGAGAGCATGTGATAAGGTTTTGAATGGGAATGGTGAAGTTGTTCCTCTTGATGAAGAATTAAACAATCATTTAAAGGATACGATTGAAGTATTGGCGAATGAAGCTCTTAGAACTCTTTGCCTTTGTTATAAGGAATTGGGAAATGAATTCCATTCCAAAGATGAGATTCCATTTGAGGGGTATACTTTGATTGGGATTGTGGGAATTAAGGATCCTGTTCGTCCAGGTGTGAAGGAATCTGTTGCAATTTGTAGATCTGCAGGGATTACTGTGCGTATGGTTACAGGTGATAATATAAACACAGCAAAGGCAATTGCTAGAGAATGTGGGATATTAACTGATGATGGATTAGCCATTGAAGGTCCAGATTTTCGTGAAATGAGTCAAGAGGAGTTGCTTAAAATTATTCCTAAAATTCAGGTATTTGCTTCTTTACCCAATAATAGCAAAGCCATCCAAATACAAAGCAATTTTCAATGTTATAATTTCGAATACTATAATTTCCTACCAAGAAAAAAAAAAACGAAAGTGGATACTGTAAATAAAGTAGAATGTGTTTATATAGAAAAGAATTTAAAGTAGAATGTTGTAATAGAAAGAAATGGAAGTATGATTATTGATTATCGATGTTATAAATAAAACACAAATAAATGAAAGTATAAGTATGTTGTTTAAAATAATGATGTATGTATGTTTGAAATTTGAATACAAGGTGATGGCTAGATCTTCTCCCATGGATAAGCATACACTTGTGAAGCACTTAAGAACCACATTTCAAGAAGTGGTTGCTGTCACAGGAGATGGCACAAACGATGCTCCAGCACTTCATGAAGCAGATATTGGTCTTGCAATGGGAATTGCAGGGACAGAGGTATATATTAAAATTTAAATTTAATATATGGAGTTTATTTATTGGATTTTTTTTTTTTTTTTATTAAATATTCAGGTGGCTAAAGAGAGTGCTGATGTCATCATTTTGGATGATAATTTCTCTACAATTGTGACTGTCGCCAAATGGGGTCGCTCTGTTTATGTCAACATTCAGAAGTTTGTTCAGTTTCAGCTGACTGTCAATGTTGTTGCCCTAATTGTCAACTTTTCTTCTGCCTGTCTCACAGGTAAAAATATCATATCATTTACAGGATACAAAAATTAAGTTTTTATGAAAATGCCTATTAAAAAAAAAAAAGTTATTTGCTTAATCTTTTCAGGAAGTGCACCTTTGACAGCTGTACAGCTACTATGGGTGAACATGATAATGGACACATTAGGAGCACTTGCATTAGCCACAGAACCACCAAACGATGAATTAATGAAACGATCACCAGTTGGAAGAAAAGGCAATTTTATAACAAACGTCATGTGGAGAAACATCATGGGACAATCCTTATACCAATTCATCGTAATTTGGTACCTTCAATCAAAAGGAAAAACCGCCTTCAACCTCAACGACTCCGACTCCGACTCCGACTCCGACTCCAACTCCGATTTACTTCTCAACACACTCATCTTCAACACCTTCGTCTTCTGTCAGGTTACATAATCACCCCCTTAATCTTTCAAACTTCAACACATCCCACCCTTCATAATTTGTTTATTGTTTTTGCACAGGTGTTTAATGAGATAAGCTCTAGAGAGATGGAGAAGATAGACGTGTTGAAAGGAATATTGAAGAACTATGTCTTTCTGGCTGTTTTAACTGCGACTGTTGTATTTCAAATCATTATTATCGAGTTTTTGGGTACTTTTGCAAACACGACTCCTCTTAGTCTTCATCAGTGGTTTGCAAGTGTTGCTATTGGTTTTCTGGGTATGCCGATTGCTGCTGCTGTCAAGATGATACCTGTTGGATCAAGATAGAAAAAGGACTGTTTTGCCCCTTGTGGTGTGTAGGGTATTCTCATACGACTCAAAAAACTGAAGGGCTATTAAGAATACAAATTTTGTAAGCATTGTTATCGTTTTATGGACTATGATTGGTAACTAAAAGTAGAAGAATGTTCATTGAATTTATCACTTTTTTCTTTTGTAATTTGACATGTCGGATATTATAATTCAGTAATTTTCAATGCTTTTATTTTTTATCTTGTTTTGATGAACTTTTTTCTTAATGAACTTAAAGTGGAACAAAGTTTATTTTGGTTAGATATATGGATTTATTTTTTAAATGGGAAAAATGAGATCTAGGACGCTTGTATTTGTAACAATTAAAACATTCTCGCAATACAAAACCTAAAATTAATAACGTTTATCAAGT